TATGGTTCAATTTCTTATGATTTATGTTTGTCAAGAGCTTCGGTCGCAAAAAGTGTTAAGATTTTGTACATCACTTTGTAAAAACAACTCTATGGGTTGCATTTAAGGTTTAATTTACATTAATGCATGTTTATTTCAAGTATAAGTACCTAAATACAGTTGGCGACAGTTTTGAAGCGAACTTTTGTATGGGATTGTGTATCTAGTTCTTTATTAGTGATCGATGTTTGTATGTTATAATATTTTCACAAAGCATTTCCAACTACCTGGAATTGCTTTGTGAAAACATTGCTTTATTTACAGCTTTACCGTATTTTACCTAAAATCAATAATATTAATAAACTTTCATATTATACGTTACATTGATTGCATTTAAATATACCGAGTATTTTTAAACAAACCACAAACACGAGGGTGATGTGGAAATGGATGTACATTTTTAATGTCACTGGTCCTTAAATACACTCTTCCGTTTTAATTTATAATATCCTTGCTCGTATTGGTTAAGAGTCATTTTTGAGTAACTGGAAAATGCATGTTTCCTAAATAGAAGACAATGTTCAAATTATTACGGTTCTTTCCAATTTAGTGTTTTAAGCTTTTAATCGATTCAATTTCTTGACGAGAGTTTAAAATCAAATATTTTTTGGAACTTGTTTTTTCTCAGTATCCCAACGAAACTATGCAGATATGCTATAAAAATCTTGACTTTATATGTAAACCACCTCACAAAAACACAACAGCAATAAATTCATTTCTAAAAAGAAATATATAAATTTGGACAGTTCCTTCGCTCACTTGCAGAATCATAATATGAATAGATTCTCCAAAAGCTATCTTTTTTCAGACTCTCCAAATGTCCACGACCTTTTGCGTACTAGACTTATGTACTATACGAAATTCACCCATCCATCATACACTTGGGACACAGAGTGCTACTATGATCAATGTGGACTAAAATCAGACAAGGATGGATGGCATCAACCATAATTAAGGTTTCGTAAACAACCTCTTTTCCTTGTAACTTTTTGTATCAGAAACTGATATATAACCACACTATGTAAGTGTAATATTTATATAGAACCTAGTAACGTTGATGACCTTGAAACTTCGCGTACTCAATTACCCAACGCCAATTATAAATGAACAGGGTATTGGTCATATTTCTTTCAAAAAATAATTGGTCTGTTCAAGAATTGAAGTAGTTGATGGATTCATAATTTGTTAAAACACGAAAAATAACGTATTGTAGTCATAAAAATGATGGATTTTTTTCTTTTAAAACATATTTTCTTCCTTATATTATTTCATGAGTAGTAAAATACTATCGAAAACTACACAAAAAAGTAAGCGGTGACTGTTCAATTTCACTTGAAACAAATGTATGTGTGCCATACGCGTGTGTGTAAGCAATTATACGTTCGAGTTCCATTTTGAGAGAATGTCGAACACAGTCCGTTAGTCGCACAAGCTCTTATGGTTATAGGTTTCATCCAATTCATATTTGGCATTGCAACCAAATTTCCGTGAGGAAATTTTCCGATACCAATCGGCCGTGTTAATCCTTTCGGAGCCTGTTTGGTACTGACGTTCGTACAAAATTGAAAGATGATTAGGAAAGCACGAGAAAATGTATGAATGTGATTATAACAAAATCTTTGTGATTCATTTTATTTAAAAAAGAAGATCGATATCAGAATACTTACTATGTGCACTGAAGATTGGAAAATCACAAAAGCAAATAAAACTTTTCACGACCACTTGTTCTGCAGTCGCGTTTACGACCGAAACCGAAGCGATCAAAGTTAAAGAATATGATGGCGATTCCTTGTTTTGTGTCAAACCTACAAAGAAACCTGTGTACGTAATTGTTGAACATACTTAGTTGATTTTTAAGTGTTTTTACTTTATTCTATTCTAATCAAGGTCAAGCTTTGTTGTTGTAAATATTAATGCTTATCCCTGAATCCGTAATATACTGCCAATGTAAGTCCACCCACAATTGTGTCTAAATATGTTTGTATCCGAACATGTCTCATATACCGAGCTCCCGTATAATCTAACCACATACCCTGCCTACACTAATAATTTCAGAGCCCACCCACATATGTACTTACAAATACCTGGGCGCTCATAGCCGAAATAGAACTGAACTATGGGGAGGAATGCATTTGGCGAGGTTCTAACTACTGACTGAACACGTGACATTTGCAGTCCAATTTTCGGAATTAAATCAGCCTATTTTCGTGTGTATCGATCACTTCGAACTCGAAGCGAGCTTCATAAAAAAGTAATACGTAATTACCCGTTTCCTTTGGCATTTGTGTTATAAACCTATTTATTTATTGTAATGGTAGGTACCATCAATTAGGCGTCCACTGCCATGTGTAATTGAGCCTCGTGTTCTTTTGTTGGTTTGGTGGCTTTTACCGTTGTTTTATTGTTTCTTTGTATAGCCTATTATTATTATGTAATATCGCTTGAATCTATCAGAATCTTTAATGTTTCTGCAAATAATATGATGACTCTTTCACTCTTTAAATGAAGATAAAAAGGAGTTTTTTTATTTCTTATTTGATTAGGTACTTCTATTTATTTCGATTACAAACATTGCAGATATAAGATCTTTTCAAAGAGAAAGTCAAAATTGCTCAATGCTCATGTGCCTCTAATTAAAACAGCACCCTTAAAGGGAATGAGAAAATGGGAACCTAGGGACTTCGCTTGGCAGCCAAATTAGCTACGGTAGTAGTAATTCCTGGTCTCACGACTAAGTTTCACCACAAACATACAATGCCTGACTTGTGCTTACACACTCATATCAACACTATTAAATAAGAATAGACAGTGGTTTGTTGTGATTATTTAATGTCTCATCGCAAATATTTGAGAACAGATTCTGATTATATTTATAAAAAACAATGGGCTGTTATGTCTTACCAATGATAATAAAAAAAAACAAGTTGATTTCCTTATTGTCTTGGATAGGTTTGTGTAAAATATTTTTTTTTTGTTTGAGGAAGCAGAAGGTTTAAGAACCGTTCGTAGAAGGCGTACACTTAAGTCTGGTTCTGGTAGGTTAGCGAGCTACCCTCGGTCGCCATCCACATATCCATACTTATGGTCTTCTACTTAGGACAGATGGGGCGTGAGGAAGATAGTTCCCTTACGCGTTTCACCTCCTTCTATGCGAGTATTACAATTGACATGTTCAAATACATTGAAATCTAATTTTTATTTGTTGGAGGCTGGGATGAAGAAGAAAAGGTTGAGGCAATTTTTGCTATACTCCTCATTTTATATTTCCCACAAAATTAAATGGGAAGAATTTTCTTTATATTTTAAATACAGAACATTAAAACACAATTCCTATAGATAAGAGCAAGACAAACTTATTCTTAGACCGAACCATTTCTCATTGATGGCCATTTAAATGATAATTGAAAACGTAAATCATTTGACCATTTGTACACAGAACACGTATTAACATAGATAGCCTTCTACTTGTGATCTTAATCTGAGGTGTGATGTATTACAGTAGAAATAGAATAGAACGATGTTACGTATTCCGCGTTCGAATTTGGACTTTCTACTCTAACATTTAAGACACATTTTCTATATAAGGCTAGCTTTTATTTTTATATTCATTTACAGAAATATTTTACTTATGATTTGTTCTATGTTAGCAGGTTATTATCACTTTAATACTCATAAATTAAAAATGGTTTACTATGATCCTTCTTTATGCTTTGATTTTGTCCAACAATCCTTTTCAATATAATCTTACTATAATTATAAATGCGAATGTTACAATGTTTGGACGTTTGTTACTCAATCACGCCAAAACGGCTGGATGGATCTGGATGAAATTTGGCACAGGCATAGGATATACTCCAGAATAGGACATAGGCTATTTTATATCAACAGACCACGCGTGCGAAGCCGCGGGTGGAAGCTTGTATGTTAATAATGAAGCTTTATTAAAAGCAAACAATTTACTCCGTACGAAATGTTATGTGTTTCATAGTTGCGGACATAGCTTTAGAAATATGAAACCAATTTTAATGAAACAAAGCGTTTAATATGAACGAACAATGCAGCGTCTAAATTAGTCGCATAGTTATTAACGTTACAATATTGTGTGAAGTGACATATTATTATTTTACATGCAAAATTAGCTCATAATAATATTTTAGAGCAGTGTACAGCTATTCTGTTTAAAAATATACATAAAAAAGATACAGTAAAGGAGGAAAGAAGAAATGGAATTATAAGCCAAGAAAATTTCTTCGACGAGTTTTGAGGAGGGAAATATCATCAAAGACTTTTCCCGTCGTGGGTGGTGCGAGAGAGAATGTTCGACTTTTACTGCTAACGCTAAATAAAAACACCTCGTTTCTTTTCTTGCTCTGAGCCAGACCAAAGCCAGAAAAATGCACGGTTGGTACGGTGACTGGGCAACTCTCCCGCACGGAACAACTCTGTGTGATCCACAAATTGTTGTTCCGGGTCTGGGTGTCATGTGCATGCGAAATTGTATGTTTGTAACCGCACCCACGACACAGGAGAAAACCTTAGTGTGGGGTAACGTTTAAAAAAAATGACATATCAATTTTCTTTTATGTTTTCTAGTGGATTTTAAATGAAGTACAATTTTGCTAATGAGCCACTAAAAAAATGTTCAATCCTTTCGTATACATAGCTGGCAGTCAAGAACTGTGAATGATCTTACGGCGGCGGTATTTCGGAAAACATACGACATTCAAACTTTGAAAAAACGAGCATACTTCTTTTGAGAATAGCCGGCAACGCGCCTGTGGCTCCTCTGTTGTCGCAAGTACCGTTAGGTGGCGCTGATCACTAACCTTCAGGTTATGAGAACGCTCATTTGCCTTATTCTCCATAAAAAAATATGACCTGCATGTATCGCATCCTTTTTTGACAGAATTGTAAATATTCTAAGTATCTTTTAAGTGCGGGAGAGCCGTGCTTCGGCACGAATGGGTCGGCTCGACCAGAGTGACACCACAGCCTCACAGAATACCGACGTGAAACAACCCACAGCGTTGTGTTTCGCCGTGTGAGTGAAATTACCGGAGGCCCAATCCCTCCTCTTCCCCTATCCCTTCCCCTATCCCTTCCCGATCGTTATATCCGCAACCCCTATCCGCAAAAGGCCGGCCGCAACGCACTCGTAACTACTTTGATGTTGCGGGTGTCCATGGGCGTCGCCGATTGCTTACCATCAGGTAATTCGTCTGCTCGTTCGCCGACTTATACCATAAAAAAATCTACGTCTATATATTTCCATCAAACTAGATACAGCTTTCTAACAAGACAAAGTCAAGCGCAATAAAGTGCCGCGTCTTCAGCCTGGTTTTTAGTCAGTAAGAGTCTGATTTGGTTGATTGTCAGTTCCTTTTGCCATACCCTTAGGTGAGTGATGACAGACATTTAATATTTCCATCCTCAAAAAAAGCATTCTAGTAATTTTGAGATTAATCCTCCCAAACCAGAAAAAAGAATAAATATACGATTTCCATAAATAAATCTGCTGTTGATTGATAAATGATTGATGCGCAATGACCCATGTCGAGTGTACGGGTCGTAAACATTTCCGTGTATTTTTCCCTTTTTTTAAAATCCCATTCCTGTTTCCATGGTCTAATAATAATTCGGTGAGTCTCGATCGCGATTTCAATGTCGAATTAAGGATTGATGGTATTTTGGTTCGACTAATAATTTCAAGATTATATTAAGTAAATCATTTGAAGAAGACAATATATAATTTTCATTAATATTGAGATATGTACATGTACCTATTGTAAGAAAATGATGATCCATTACTTCTTCAAACCTCTTTAGAGAAAACCAAGTAAAACCTTATTTTTTATAATGTGTACGATATCAATATCGTTTCTAACTATAGATGCCTTGAAACAGTCAACAACAGTGTGGTAACACATTCACGCAACCCCCATACTGGATTGAAGCTGATAAATCTAACTTAAGAACGCTTTACATGTATTTATTTTTATCGCAAACCATGAAATGGGGTTTTGAAAAACATAAACACGGCTTTCTTCATTCATTGTACCTGTGATGCATTGCACTCGCATTTGTTAATAACACCTACATGTGTAAAATTAATATTTTAAGCATTTTTTAGTGGATTACATATTTTCTTAACGTGGTGTAGTTACTGATCATCATGATATCAATTGATCAATATTTTTTCTTATGCAGACGATACTGCCATCGTTTTCTCTGGGTATTCTTGGGATTCCATTAAAACTGACGCTGAATATGGTATGTCTAGGGTTGCTAAATGGTTAAAGTATAACCTCCTTACGTTAAACACATCAAAAACAAAATACATTTGCTTTACTATCAATAACAGAACACAACCCAGTCAAGATTTTAGATTAAAAATACACGTATGTAACGAAAATGATAGTACAGCAAGAAATCAATGTGATTGCTCATTAATAGAAAAAGTGTCTTCTTTTAAATACCTAGGAGTTATACTAGATCAGAGACTATCATGGTACCCACAAGTTGAGCAGATTACCACAAGGATAAGGAAATTTATATGGATGTTTAAATCGCTACGCCATGTAGTCCCAAAAACGACGTCCAATAACCCCAACTACGAAAAAAACCTCCTAAATGAAATTTATGTTATCTTAGTACAATCCATAATATTATATTGTATTCCCATATGGGGCGGGGCTCTCAAAACCCGGTTTTTAGAAGTAGAAAGGGCTCAAAGAGCTCTTATAAAAGTTATGTACTTCAAAAAACAACGTTTCCCCACTCTGAGTCTATATCAAGTGTCCAAGCTACTTTCAGTTCGAAAATTATATATTGTATACACCATACTAAAAAAACATAAAACACTAACCTATGATCCTTGCATAGAAACTAAACGTAGGAAAAACATAGTCGCAATTGTTCCTATAACAAAGACTGCTTTTGCTAGTATACAATTTCAAAAACGATCTGCTTATCTTTACAATAAAGTTAATAAAATATAACAAATTTTTTCGAAGACCTCTCATGAGTGCAAATCAGTATTGATAATGTGGATAAAAACCCTAAATTATGAAGAAACTGAAAAAAAAAATAAAAAATTGTTATACATGGAATAAACATGCATTGATTACAGAAACACACACACACACACACACACACACACACACACACACACACACACACACACACACACGCACACACACACACACACACTCACACACACACACACACACACACACACACACTCACACACACACACTCACACACACACGCCCTCACACACACACACACACACACACAACACACATTGAACACCTACTGATACTATAACCTACCCCAACTTCTTGGGGCTAGGGAATCTTACAGTACATCTTAGGCTAAAAATAAAAACTTACCTACCTACTAAATATAATTAAAATACAAAACTTATGCTTACATGTCTTGCTATGCTGTTAATACGTTAAGGAAGAGCGGAGCCTCCTGACACAAGCATATTTACATGCTTAAAAGGAGACTCCAGCAACTAATTATAAGAAGAAGTTTTGTTAAAGAAAAATTAAGATTTTTTGTTTTTTTTTGTTTTGTTTTTTTGATCATCAATAAAAAAAATATTTTTTAAGTATGTCACGAAGGGTCTTTTCCGTGGTTTCCGGGAGGGGGGGGGCTACGGTGTATGCTTCCCATGCATGAAGATGCTTATTTGAAATCTGAAAAGTTCCAATGTGATTTTTTTCGAGTTATGTGTAGGTACTTTTTAAGTTTATTTAGATACCATTGACCCACGGCCACACATAAACTAATTATAAGTTTGAAATTACCAATCTACCTTATACAAATGCAGCGATAAATGGATATAATATCCTTGGAGTTATAATTGAGAAAAAAAAACATATAATTATTTTGTAATCAAACCCTTACTTTTCAGTCGCATTACCGTAGTTAGAATAAAGTAGCAATTTTGTCCAATATATTTTCTTTATCAACCAATATGGCATGGTAATATATAGGTACATAGAGTACACTTGATTCAAACAGCTTTAAATGTTTTTAAAATCAGACTTATTACTGCTGCTGGGCGTGCAGCCAACTACCTGTCGTCAGAAAAGCTTTATTGCAGTTTAAACACTACAAAAACGAGACTTATCCTCGGCAGTATCTCAAGGATTTTTATTAACAGACAAGGCCAATGTTGTGTTAAATTGTTTCCGTCATTTACGAGACATTTATGTGAACAAGAGGATTATCATCATGAGTCAATCGTGATACATATTTGCCGTACTGCATTTATTCAATGTTTCCACATACCATCATCATCATCAGCCGCCTGAAGACCTCCCCCTTAGTTCACCACGCCGAACTACAAGTCTTCCCCACATCCATTAGCTACCCGCGACTCTGGCGAGTTCGTCGGTTCACCTGACAGATCTCCTGTTAGGCGAATCCACAAACTCGTCGTCAATGGCATTAATAACATTTATACATGTGTTTTTTAATTTATTAACACAAAATGTCTAAAATAGAGTGTTACTACCCATCTTTTTGCTAAATGACAGACAACCATTTTCTGCAGTCAAAAACTTTGATCAACATATATCTAGAACTGACTGATAGTCCTTTCAATCTTTAATATTTAATTATTTTGTTTGACGTTCAAGTATTAGAATAATGGTTTAATCGCAATCAATAATATTTTATTCATTATTGAATTTAATTTTAATATTCTATGTTCAGGCAACAATGGATATAGTTATGTAAGCTTTAAAAGCTAACATATATAGATTATATAATATAAAACATGTAAGTAAACAAAACCTAAATCTATATTAGATTATGATTAATGACAAATGCATTTGCACTAGCTTAGTTCTTATTGTGCCATTGAAACCCACAATTTTTGTCTGTGACAAAATCGAACATAACCAACTCAAATGTCTGAACACAAACACATTTGTATCCTTTCCTCTCGAAGTGGAATTTATGCACTACAACGTTAATTACATTCCAAAATTATGGCAGTAATTAATCACAGCTTGTTTTCCATGCAATTACAAGTTCAATTTGCTGTTCAAATACTGCTTGTGACCCTTCGTTTTAACAGTGAAAAGCATCCACAATAATCGTTTTCAACGCTCAGTCTAACGGTGTGTGCCGAGTTTGAAATTGTCTTTTTATAACTGTCATAATTTTCCAAAACATTTGCTCATAGCTGGAGGAACGGCAAATACTTTTGCAGATAAAAGTATAAAGAAATAAATTTAATGTATCCTCATTTTGAGAACGGAGGAGCTATGGAAAGTGAAGGGTAGTTCGGATATGGTCTTATGTGCAAAAGTGAATGATTAGAAGTAGTAATCTGCATTGTGGATTTTAATGAAATGACAGAAATTTAAAATACCGAATAATAAACTGACTTCGAAAAATTAAATTTATTGAAATACAATTTTTTACCAGATACCAGACTACGTATAAACCAGTTATATAAAGACAGAAACTATAATCAATACTCAATAGTCTTTATTGCATACCATAATGCCAAATAATGTAGTACAATTTGGGATAATTAGATTAGTCACAATTATGGACCCAGTTGAGCACAGCATATATTAAGTAGGAGAGAGGATTAAGAGCGTTGAGTGTTTGGATGCGATTTAATATCTAAGTATGGTTATTAATTATTGTTTAGGATAACAATTATTGAAGAATTTTATCTTATAAAATCTATTTCAGATTAAAATTATCCATGCTGTAGTGAACCTAAAACTAGGTAAGTTCACTAAAAAAGGCCGACTTGTAGGTCTAGTGTCTCGAATTTCCATGGGCAGCGAACATTACTTAACACCAAGTGATCAGCTTGTTTACTGTATACATTTTATAAAAAAAATACCAAAATTGCCATCATTTAAAATGTTTGATTGAAAGCAATTTACTATTCCTAAATCTTGTAAACACAGAAACAGGGAAACTGTCGTAAATTCACGCTTATCACTTAAGGATCGAAACTCATCAGTGTTTACCAACACCTATCGCAGATGTCAGCATTTCCTATCTCACCCATTTGTATTCCAATCTTGCTTCAATCCTCTAAACGTCGTCACTCGACTAGGCGAGCAACTCTGTCTTACTTGGGCGTAACTGAAATATATTTGTGGGCAAAAATCTTTGTCTTTAAGAAACAGTTTGAATGAATTATTTTAATGTTGAATTTCTTATTTGAATATTCATAAAAAAAAATTAAGTGTTTGAGTTTAAAGCTTTATGTTTTTTTCTATTTATTTTATTTCAATTTTCGATCACCAAAGGTGTAATAATGCCCAGAGCATGAGAAGGAACGGGGTTTTAAGTCAGTAAGAGTCTGACACTCCCTTCCCGCCCAACCCTGGGCGGGAGAAGTCTTTGATGATTTCTCCTTACAAAAAAAAGGAGCAAATCTTCCCAAACTATAATCTGAAATAGGTATCAACTAGTCTCAGTTCCGTAAATTCTTTTGTCGAATTAAAACCAAATAAAAAACATGAAAATGACAAAATAATTTTATTGTGCATAATTATTTACACGCGGACAGTTCAAAATTATGTCTCCAAAATGCGAGAGCTCGCATAAATGTAAAATATTTTATGTGTGTAATAACAAAAAAAAAAAAAAGTTGCTGACTCGAAACTTTTGACGGGAAACGAAAAAGTTTTGCTATGTGTTATGAATGTTGAATGGGTGAGCGAATGAATGAATGCGCTTACTATAAAAATAAAGACAGAAATTTTCGCGGTCACTTTATACTTGTACGTCCCTAATTTTATTTTGTTTGTTTGTTTGCGAAAATTCATATAAAGTTGGTCGGTAGCTTGAGTAAAATCGTTTCACCGAACGAGTATAGTTCACAACTAAATTGTTTTGTTTATTGTTGTATCCACGTAGTTTATGTTGGACTTTGTGACACAATATAAATCGTCAATGTCCTGTAAGCGACCTGAAAATCAAATAACAATGTCAGTACTTTGTTTGAGGCGGCCGTAGCAAAAACAAGATAACATTTTTACCTACTTTCTCATTTTCACTTACCCCAATATTTCATAAAGGGGAGAGTAAACGGATAGTTTCAGCGCGGACAATTTAAGCGAATGGAACTGTTACGATCGGATCACCCAAGTTTAACCAAATTGGCGACGTCATACCGCAGGTCTATTCGATATTAGTGTATTAGGCCCAACGAACGTATCTTCAATAATTACTTTTAAGTATTTATTTTCTGACAAATGCTGATGCTAGGAAGTGAATATTCTTACGTAAACAATTAACTACTGTATGTAAATAAGTCATTAAGCATATAATTGCTTGCCCTATATTTTCCACGACGCTAATTGCTCAATACATGTAAATGCGTAGTCGGGGAGCGTGCGTACCTAAATAATATAAATGTATTAAATAGGAATATTTATAAGATGGGATACGTATATATATGTATATACAGATGTATAATCACAACTAAACTTGGCCTTACTATTAATGTATGTGGTATGAAGCTTTGAAATTAGAAAATACACAACAAAGAGGTTCTAATATTAAAAAAAACTTATAATTAAGATTATTCTGTCTCACGTACTGACGTTAATGTTCACGCAAAGTAAACAAGAAAACACGTATAAAATTAAAACTCATCTTAGCTCTTAAAGCTAATTCACTATAAATTTCGCTTTCAGGGTTTTCACTTAAGCACAGTACCCAGTCGATGTTGCATGTTGTATAAAGCTACAGTTCACGGGACGGCGTTTTAATTAAAATATTCATACCAGACGTTGTTAGACGTATTTTGAATACATCATACAAGTTCATAAAGTTTAATTAAGCAATGGTTTACACGCAATGATCCAGGTTTATCGTGGTACAACAAGATTAGTTTAAGGCCACTGCACATCGACGTCACGCTTGGTCGATTTGGTCGTCTAGACGCATGAACGAATGGCTAATTTGAGGATTCTGTCACTCTACCCTTTGATGCCGATATGCTCTTAAACAACCGATCAAAATGTAACTAATGGCTTAAATTACTATAAAAGAATCGACTAAAATCATATGCTGTCTATTAAATGAAATAATCATAATCTACCGATGCCAGAAACATAAAATAAAGATACATAACGAAATAACAGCTTTAATAATACAATACACATCTAGTGAAAAAATATATACCTATTATATATATAATATTATTATATTATATTATAAATATATTATATAATATATTATATAATAATTATATAATAATTATATAATTATATATTATATAATATATTATATTATAAATATATATAATATATCAATTAGATTAAGTTAATGGAAAATAGCAAAATATTATTTTACCCCGTAGTTAGTAACATAATGCATACGCGTAGATATAAATCTAATTAGCTCGCGGCAGAAACGTTTTGGTCAAAGGGGCTATTTAGCAAATTGTAACACGTCACAGTTCCGTCCTTGCTTCGCCCACCGTTGCCTTGGGCACACTCAAGTATCCAGAAAATTTTAATTACGCTCAAACATGTCTTACCAACTAAGAGTTGAGTTGGGCACGTAATTTTATTTGCTTAATATCTTGAAAATGTTTTTGTGCTCCACTTAATTGGAGCTCTAGAAGTTTAGTAAGTATTTCTCATTAGTCACGAAATAATTGCGCGGCTGAAATATGCTACGCATTAAGCCTTGGTCTGCCAAATGCATCTTCTTTAAGCGTTGGATTGCCAATGTTTTTGTAGAGAATCTTGTTCATCGACGGTTTTTTCCTATTTCCATAAAGCGTCATTTTATTAATCTAGGGTCAAGGATACGATGGTATTTCCTCGAGGGTAGCCCTACATTTCAGAGGATAACGGACATTGTTATGTTAAGAAGGGTAAACGGTTATGACTTTAAGGATTTTATACTACAATCTTGTGCGAAAATTTTCGCAGCATAATATTTTTATCTGAATTTGAATGAACTTCACATTTATTAATATAAGATGAGACACCGAGGATTGAAATAACTTCGTTAAATATAGAACTGAATCAAAACAAACAGTAATATCGTGAAACTGATTTTAGTGACGGACTCGGAACGCAACAGTACGATTTCAATGTAACATGTGACAGTATTCATTTCGGATTGAAATCTCAATTTTCGTATTTGTAACAATTCGCTTACAGTGTATTTCGGTGTATTTCAGCTGCGGAAGCCGGTGTCGACGCTCTCGATCCCGGGCGCGATGAAGGCGTACTCGGGTGGCGGGAGGGACGCGGGAGGCGAGGAAGCAGGCGTCGCTCTAGTCGGCGTGCACAGCGAGTACCCGCGCTTCGGCGAAGAACGAGCGCTTGGCGGCGGCACGTACAAGGGCGGGGGGACAGCTAAGCACAAACCCAATATAGGATATAGGTTAGTGTCCAATGCTCTGCCTGTAATTGGAGTGGATGTGCGTGATGTTTTTATATTGAGTTAAATTGTACCTGAGATCAAATGTTCAGACTCGGTTCGGAGACATTTAAGGGATTTTATTGTGTTATCCTTTTTAAGCTTATATTGGATTTCCTCGTGTACCGTGTTTGGAATTTAAGACGTAGAAAATTATCAAAAACGTTTTAGCTTTCGTTACAGCATAGGTACTAAGTATATTTAGTAAACAAATGACTGGGCACGTAAATAATAAATGCAATGATTAACGCTGATTGGAAGGTCACTAGGCGTGGGTAGCGAATTACAAATTAATGTTTAAATAACATTAAAGTAAGCAACTTAAAACTTTAGTACACAAATAAAATACTCAAGAAGATGGTCGAACTAATAAAATCTTGAATTCGAAATTCAAATAAAGGATTTTAAATCGAGAAGTTTTGAAGCCAGTGAGACTTTTTCGAAAGTCGATCAATGAAATGATAATGAAGCCGACAAAGTTGGCACTTCAACATAATTGGAGAGCGTCTTTGTAAGATCACACAATGCTGAGAGTTTCATTCTATCATGTGAATTCATGTTTACCTTGGAAGCTAACAAAAAGATGTTTAACTTATTACGAGATCTTGAAATTAAATAAATATACTACTATCATTGTTTCTTAACACAAAATTTCTGATGTCGTCAGCAAACGAGCAGACGAATTAGCTGACGGTAAGCAATCGGCGCGCCCATGGACACCACCGACACACCGGTGGGGTTAGTGGAGGTACAAGAGCGTTGACGGCCTTTCGGAGATTTAGGGATTAAAAAGGGATGGGGGAGGGAAGGGATTGATGTCAGCTCAAAGTAATTAGAATCAATTATTTTATATTATATATATTTATATATATTATATTATATATATTTATTTTGCGCTACATTAAACACGAAATTGTCACAACGTATGTGCTACTAATAGGATATTTTCAAAAAAACTTAAAACTCCTTCGTGCTGTTCAGAATCTAATCAAAGAAATAAGCTCACTTGTAACATAAAGCAGCTAAAAACTAAAAACAAAAGAATAATAGAATTAATTAAAAAGACAAATTAACACCGTTTAGTTTTTCCGATACAAAGCAAAATGTCGAACGACGGTCATAATTTAAAAATCCAATTTTGTATTGTCGCGAGCAATTCTCGACCACACGTTTCGCATTCTTCTTTTGTTTCCTTTTTTATCGAATTCGAAAAAGGAAGCAACATTCACAGCTCATTTGTTTTGAATGTGCGGGTATGTTACTTGATAGCTTCGGTGAACGGGGAAAGATTTAAATGAGTCTTTATTTTGAGTTTGTTTACATTTATTGCGATATTATTTTTTCTGTTTTTCTTTCGATTTATATGACTCATTAGAAGTTACATTATTAATTTCCAGTTAATATATGATGACGAACGAAGCTTTAATATGATTAATGGTACTCTAAAATCTAGTTAACTAGCGACCTGCCCTGGCTTCACGCGTTTACGATGCTGATATTTTTTTTTTACTATTTAATGGATATTATATTACTTCTTACTTTTTAATATTATATTTATGTTGTTGTTATATAAATGCGTTACGATATTTGGGTGTCTGTTACTCCATCGCGCCAAAACGACTGGACGGATCTGGATGAAATTTGGGACAGGCACAGGATACACTCTGGAATTGGACATAGGCTACTTTTTATCAATATACTACGCGGGCGAAGCCATAATAAATAGCGACGAAGGCTCATATCATAAAACTTCGTCTTTAGCAATTCTATCTACTGAAGAGAGCTGCATCAAAATCCCTTGTGTAGTTTTAAAGATTTAAGCGTACATAGTGCGATAGGGACAGAGATGGTAGTGACTTTGTTTTTTATTTGTAATGATTTTGACACAAATATTAACATTGTTGCGTACATACAACATGTTCTATAAATAAATAAATAGTTTACCAAAACAAATGCCTATATCGATCAATAAAACAATAACAAAGTTTAGTTAGTGCATAATGTAAACGTCACAAACACGTCACATTGTAACTGTGATAATATTTTTCTCTTTTACGTCCGACAGTTTGATTTTACAACGCAAATCATTCACTGTTATCCATTATCTGGTCCGCTATGATTTCAAACCATAAATCGTGTCTAAAATGTGGCCAAAATTTTGATTCGATTTCAATATGAGTTTTATTTATTGGATTTTCATGCACGTAATTTTGTACGATGCTGTAGGCACTATCACTTAGTCTAGAGAGAACAGCAAACACCGAATGAAGCTGAAGAATAGACATCACATAGTTCTTTTTTTTTGTGAGGGGAAAATCATCAAATGACTGATGGCCACTTACTGACTAACTGACTAACTGTCATGAGGGAATGTCAGACTCTTAGTGACTAAAAACCCTCTGTTCCTTCTCCTGCTCTGGGCCGAGGTCGCGGTGCCTCATTGCGCTTACCCCGCAACCCCGGCTGAAAATCAGCTCTATAGGGCCCCGTCTGTGGTGGTCTATTGGCTCTTTGAGGCGCGCGCGGAACGCTACGCGCCGTACGCTCGGGTCTGGTTCTGGTCGGGCGGCAAGCTGCCCGCCCTTACTCGCCGACCGCAGAGACATCACATAGTTGCATAGTTAAAAGATACAAATAAATATAATTGTCTGCAGAGGATTTGTGTTTACTATGATTGAATGCACTATCTTGAGTATGGGATCGTAATGCTTCTGAATATTCATTAAGGAGCCCTACGTCTGCGTTTAAAATAACATAAAATAGTGATTTTAAAAATGTACTTTGTATCCAAAATTGGGTTTAAAAATACAGTAAACGACAATTTGTGAATCTTCGGTCATGTTGGATTGTCTTATTTATGAGTATTAAAGTATTTAGCCTGCACAATTTTGCACTGAGGTACCGCGACCTCGGAGTCAGTAAGAGTCTGACACTTCCTCCCGCCTGGCCCTAGGCTGGAGAAGTCATTTGATGATTCACCCCTAGCAAAAAAAAAAAACCTGCAGAATATTCTTTATTTATCCAGAATAATCTTGGCTTTAAGCTAAGTTTATTAAGATATAAGCATAAGCTATCGTTTTAATAAAACTAAAGGCAAGCTAACATACTGTAATATGTATTAATGTAATATTCCAAAAATACAATACAAAATCCAGGAATAGGGCGCCAGTATATTTCTTCAGTACACATAATCTGTCAAAAAATCTTTTACGAGTCATATAAAAGGTATCCCCGTGCCATTCGTAAAATGTGACCAATAAAACCGTGGTTAATACAACATATCATTATTATGGCGTAGTTCATTGTTTTTCCGATATCGGTTCGTACTATTTTCATTAACTCTCTTGGGTTATATAAAACCAATAAGCAGTGTAATAAAACTGGGGTCAATTGTTGGCCAAAAGCCGACGAGTTTATTCTCTTGAGACTTGAATAGGTAAACGAATGCACTATGCTATGAATTACAAGTTTAGCTGAATGAATAAGCCAATGCCATGAGTAACAAATGAGATACTTTCTTGACAGAAGGATTTTTTCTATTAAGAGCTAGATAAAAACTCTTTTCCTAAAGTTTCAGTATCAAATCATCGAACTCGATTCAAGCGAACGCCGAAGTGCGTACGCATATATATTGTCGTAGATGTGTCTCGAATGACTACAATTAAAAGGTTTTTATTTGACAAAAACTTACATGATTATTTTTTCGAAAGCATAAGACCCTAGTACTATCAACATTTTAAATAATTTAATATACTGTACAAGTTTAAGTTTACAACCAGGTAAACATAAATATATAATCATCGATATAACAAATAATTTGTTAAAAAAAACACAAACATTTTACATAAAAATACGACATTTCTACTAAAATACGAAAGAAACACTCAGAAAATGCTTCTTAGCACATTATATGGGTAGTTTATGGATTTGGAGCGTGCTCCTATCAGCTTTGTATCAACCCGCCCACGTTTTTAGGACCTCTGGAAAGTACAAGGGAATATAATATTTAAAGTGCTTTTCACACGACCGATTTCACCTTGAGATTGTAAATGATCTTAACGAATTTCTTCGTCTTCGGGCAAAAATGTTATACCATGTTTCTTGAACCATGAAAAGTGATGGTAAAATGTTTTACGGAATTCAGAGACATGGTTCAATTCTTGCTCTTCATATTTATTTCAGTTGAAGTGAATTTTATTGATTATATATAATGTATATTTTATTATTGTAAATATTGGAAAAAAAATCCTTCTTACCTACTTTTACCAGTACCAATTTCGACGGTCTGCGTGCGATCACGACCTGTGCAACCAGGTCGTCGTCGTCAAGTTTTCCAAAGTATAATAATGTTACTAATTTTCTGTAATGTATTGTTTTTGCATCCTTCCCTTTTTAAATTGAATCGATAGATCTTTTCAAACAGCAAAACAGTGACAGTGAAGTTAAATAACAAAACAAAAGTAATTGGTTGTTTGAAAATTAATCAATAAATCACACGAAAACACGCTTAATAAAGCGAATACAAGCTAGAAGCGTTTTAATAATGCCTATCAGCCTTGAACGAACGGAAATAACTTGCATCAGGGTCGCATCGATTTTGTTTGTCTTCGGAATTATTTAAGTGCAGTATAGAACTTATCTCCAATAATTTACCAATATTTTATTTAACAGGATAGATGACGTCAACCTATGTTACTTCTAAGAAACATTCAAGGCTTATTAGTGCTGTTTGATTATTCTGTCCAATTCAGTGTACTTATAGTAAGAAATGAATATGTCCACCAAAAAAAAAACAATATATAAAAACAAGAATAATAATTCTTCACGACATTTCCCATTAAGGAGTAATCAAAACGCCAAACGGTAACGTGAGAAGCATTCCTATTGTTCAAATCACGCATTCCAATATTGTACCGCGCTTGAAGGTCACTGGGTTCCCAAATACTAAATACTACTTTAATTTCATATCAATAGGGTACAATTTAGTTCAGTTTTATTAGATATGACTGGTATGAAGCTGTAAGAGTAAAGATGGTTGAAGCTTAATATGAACTGTTCGTTGTTCATTTGTTTTTCGAATATTGTTCTATTCTTTGTTCAAAATTGATCGTTTTAAATATCAATTTACTGAAAAATTACCTATTCAATAAGATTGCGAACTTTCAATCAAATACGACGGGCCCTCATCAATAAAGAGTAATCTCGCAAAACTGGACGTTGGCACGAAAACTTTGATCTGAGCCGATCTAGCCGATCCTAGTTTAGGCTGCCTCGTAAATTTCGAAGTCCCTCTGAAATTCGACATAAAATACCGTAGAGAAATAAGGTGCCTTATTAATAAATGGAACTTACTAATAAATTTTCCGTTCATTCTTCCAGGTTAGGTAGAAGAAAGGCGTTATTTGAAAAAAGGAAAAGAATAAGTGACTACGCTTTAGTTATGGGAATGTTTGGTATTATAATTATGGTTATAGAAAATGAACTTTCAAGTGCTGGTGTATATACTAAGGTACAGTCTAACATTTATTCTTATTATAAATAAGGTCATATAGAATTCAAATTACAATAACCTGGTCTTTATGATTTCAGGCGTCAATATATTCGCAGGCGTTGAAGACGCTTATATCAATGTCGACTGTGATTTTACTTGGCCTAATCGTCGCGTACCACGCTTTAGAAGTCCAGGTGACTGACAACTTTTCTTCTTAAACATTGTTAGCTGGAAAACTTTCCTAATTAATTTCCGTCTCTTTAATGCAGCGCATCAATAAAGCAATTACCTTAGCGCTCCTTGTAAACGAGACTTTGATTTTTATTAAGAAAGTTTAGAGGTTGGAACACATGGGTCCATAAAATTTTGTCTAAGTTTTTTTTAATATTACATAACTTTTACAACCTTATACTAAACTACCCAAAAATATAGTATACATCCTCCCATACTTCTTATTTACATTTATTTCAAAAATTATACTTATAATAATTATTGTAAGAAAATCTTACTTTTTACATTAAGTTCTATCACTTCTAATGTGTCTACTATTTCTCCTTTAGTAATGTTATATTTTGTAATTTTATAAAATATGGATGTACAAATCCTCTTTTTATAAATTTGAGACTTTTCTTTGTCACTCAAACTCGACTTATCACGTTTCAGTTATTTATGATAGACAACTGCGCTGATGACTGGCGGATAGCAATGACGTGGCAGCGGATAGCTCAAATTGGCCTCGAGCTTGCTATCTGTGCCGTGCATCCCATCCCCGGTCAATATACATTTACCTGGACCACAAAACTCGCAAATAAAGGTGGAGTTATAGGCGTTGAAGTAGTAAGTACCAGTTTGGAATTAATATTATTATCATGAAGTATGTAGTTATCATTGTCATATAAGCATTTTGGGCCTCTTTATGTTGTCGGGCAATAGATACTTGATAAAAGTTCCTTAATGGAGACAAGTCAAGATTTACGTAGCTCACTGTATACTTTTTCAAATTCTCGATGTCAACTTTCTAAATGTTTGTAGTTTAATGAACTTTTCTTTGTAATTTTATTTCGTGATTTCACTTCTTCACAAGACGAGTACCTCTTAAGACTTTAGTACCGTCTATAGTAGCATTTATATTGTTAGCGTCAAATAGAATTATTTTTTATTGATTACATCCATTCTTGTTCTTTATTTGCTGACTGACGTTCATTTTTTTTTCAATTTTCTCCTTAGGGCACGATGTATAAGCAAATTCAGGTCTGTATTCATTGAGTTGAAGTGTTTCCAAGTTTTAAGTGATGTTAGAGTCCTCGTCTTGAGCATGTGTCCAATTTATGTACGAACAAAACTCTTGTTTTTGTGTATGTGAATTTGATAATGTGATATAGACATAGTGTATGTCACTGATTTTTTTTCGTTTAGCGTTAATACTTGTTCGGTCTTGTTTTAATTGTATGCATGTAGGAAAAGTTAGATAATAAGTTTACCCCAAAAATATTTGGTGAATTTGTATTTAACCAAGAACTACATGATACTTGTGGTTACAATACAATTTTGAAGAGTGTGTAAACCGCTTTTAAAAGACTTGAAACGAAAAAAGAATTTAATAATGTGCAAACAAAGATTTGATAAGGAATAATTCAAATAATAATGTGTTCTATTGGAATGGCAAAAGTATATAATTCAAACTTCACTGTTAGCACAAAGCACATTTAGTTTTTGCTTCACTAAATGTATGTTTATAACTGACATCACTTGAAAATATAATCTTTTCATAACTTTTCGTATATAATGTCGCGTGCCTTAAGGTTGCCAACCCGGGATATTCCTACACCTTCTATATAATGTGTTCTTACTAAGTGATTGCCTTTCACATTCCAGGTTCCTTATGATGTCACGCTGTCTCTGCCAATGTTCTTTCGACTCTATTTAATATGCAGGGTCATGTTACTTCACAGTAAATTATTCACAGATGCTTCGTCCAGAAGTATAGGAGCTTTAAACAGAATTAATTTTAACACTAGGTAAGTATTATTATAATTCATATGTAAGATTTTATTACTAGCACTGTTAGGTACTTTATTATTTTCTATACTAATTAATAATATGAATTTTCGTACTTCTATTTGAGTAACTTCTGTTCGTAATGTACCACACCTTGACCATATTCGTATCTTTTCTATGAAAAGTAACGGGCGTTGTCGACTTCACAATTCATAATTAAATTGTAATAGAAAATCCATAAACATTTTCCTTGTTTATTAGCATTATTAATTTCTTATTACCTGTTCACAGATTTGTCTTGAAGACACTTATGACAATTTGCCCCGGCACCGTGTTACTAGTTTTTATGGTATCTCTTTGGATAATCGCGAGCTGGACTCTTCGGCAGTGTGAAAGGTTGGTATCGTTGTTATGTGTTGTTGGTGATATATCTTAATTTGCGTAATAATTGTGTTCAAAATCTTGGGTGGGGTATTCCAAACCTGTATCAGTATTTGGAAAGTTGATTTGCTCATTCGATTTGTTCAGATATTTTACTTTATCATTAAAAGTCGTTCCTAATTATCTGTCAGTATCTTCGCTTCCATCGTTTAGTTCGATGTCCACATTCTATGTTTGACACTCAAATTATTAAGTTTTGAAGATCACCGGTGTTTTGCCTATGTGGGCATGCTATTGCTTTTGTACTGTGGCGTTGTAAATATGTTTGTTTTTGCTTTTTAAACCCACTGTGATTTTTTTTTATTTTTCAATGTCTACGTTTAAAGTTTTACGGAGATTTTATGTAGTAAAGCTAGGTTCATAATCATCACAAATGATACAAGAGTTTGACTTTGACTATTTTCTTGAAATGTAGCTTTTGTAAGATGTATTAAGAACACAAGAGCTGTAATTATTAGTTTATGTGTTAGTTGTAGCGGATAAAAACCGTTGTAAAGACAGGATGCTTGTTGTGAAAGTAGAACTAATTATTGAAATAAATATGTTGGCACTGCAACTGCACAATAACTATATTGATATAGGTACCGTGAAACTATATCATATCTAAGATAAAGGAGCAAAAGTGATCACGGCACGGCTTACCACAACAAATGGTGTTGCAAATATTCGCAAAAATACATTTAACAAATAACAAGAGTTAAATCACGCACAAAATGGCTCTAGGTAACAACACACTTAATATTAGATGAAGCTTCTGACTTACCATCAACATGCACAGAACCATTGCACCCTTCATGATCATGCATCAAACAAGTTACCTATTCTTCCCGTTCGAAGCAAGTTGCTTGTAACTCTGTCACTTTTACGTGTTTTACCTTCTCTCTTCTCGCCAATCTATCTACTAAATGTTTATCTGTGTTATCATAACCTTCACCTAAGGTTTAAAATTATATCACGCATGGCTACAAGTATAATTTGGTATTCAACCCAGATATATGTTTAGAATGCACGTTGTATTTAAGAATCTTTATATTCGATATTAGTACGTACAATGTCTGTGTAGTAAGAAAGTTTTGTTTTTCCATAGGCATGACAAAATTTTCTTTTGTGTTTAGGAGTACTGTATTACATTAATGTTTATCAAATTTTATAATTGATTCCTTAAAATGAAGCTGACATGTCTTTTCCAAAGATTTTGCCACAAAAACTTTGCTTAGAGGTCCCTGTTTAAAACGAAATTTTTTGCACCTACCTTAAAAGTTGAACTTATGTTGACTTTAGTAGAAACAATCGGTTATCTGTGGTTCTTGTCGGGCATTTTGGCTCTCAGGTTCCACGATGAAGACCATGCCAATTTGCTAAACTCAATGTGGCTGACAGCTATAACGTTCCTCTGTGTTGGCTACGGTGATATAGTCCCCAACACTTACTGCGGCCGTGGCATAACCCTCACCTGCGGTATGGTGGTATGTATAAAATCATAGTAGGATACTTTCGGTTGGTTTGAAAATTTATACATCTTTCATACGTTTGTGTGGCTAGGAAAGAATCGTACTAGGCATCGCAAGATTGTTGCGACTCTTTGAAAATTGGTAAAATAAAAAAGCTTGCTTTGTCTAGGTGATACTGTAATAGGTCGGTAAAGGTGAGCCATTTTATGTGTTGTTAATAACGTCACAATGTTTGAAGCAATTTCACAGTTCAATTTTTAATCAAAGTCAAACTCTTTAATTCCACACGGATTCCCTCTCTTTCTTCTCTCGTTTCATTTCTTTTTTACATCTAATCCACTACGCCTGTAGGTATCTCCTTGCGTATGACGAGTCACAGTATAGGGATTGTGAATTAACACTTATTTATCGGTCGTTTCGAGTTTAGGGGAGACAGGTCAATGAGTAAATAGTTGAAATTTATTAACCATTCAGGTTTCACGATGAAGAACACGCTAACCTACTGAATGCGATGTGGCTTATTGCGATTACCTTTCTCTCCGTCGGTTTTGGTGACATAGTGCCAAACACATATTGCGGCAGAGGTATTGCTGTTAGCACCGGCATTATGGTAAGTTCCTTACAAACAAACTTTATGACTGTACGTGTTGACTGACACAATTTAACCAAATTCTTTCCAAAGAAAATACTCATAGTAATTATCCATATATATGAATGTCGATGTGTGCAAAATCACGCCAACAGCAATGTTGGAATGCTTTCGCTCTTATGCCAACGCTTTGAATTCGTTTGATGTGGAAGTCAGTCAACACTAATGTTTCAATGTACCAAACAATTCACACACCACACTAAATGCTTCACTCTCGAGAACTTACGCTAAATCACAACTATTTGTCGGTGTATTCGATGTTATAAATATTTATAAAGTATATTGATGTTCACAGATATCTGTAACACGAAATGTATATGTTAAAATTGTGAATGCAGTATTATATCTATGTTAACACACTTGTATTATGTCACCACTTCTGTAACTCACAATCAATACACAATATATTTTGGATATAGGGTTACTATCGTAATATTTTATTCGTAGTTCTTGCAGGCAACAGCATATTTTGGAATACCTATATAAATAATATAAGTACGGTTTAAATATTTTTTGAATAAACTTACGTCCATTTCCCTGTTAAAGCCAGCTATTAGAAATTATATAATTTGTAGTATGGAATGCTTCATTTCTCCTAACTATTTCTAGCTCTCTCTTCACTTAAATATTTCACTGGATTGCACAATACGTTTGTTTTTAAAATGGCTCACTTTTCCTAAAATTATTTTAATACAGAAGTGTACAATAAATCTTATTGCACCTAAAATAGTGTTTGTGTAAATGTTGATAAAGTTAAATGAGATATTAGATGTTCTTAATGTTAAAATGGAAGTAAACGTTGAACTGAATCAGTTTTGTGCACTTATTAGATGGATATGCACTAACAATAACTGTCGTGTTTGATGAAAACTGTCTATTGTTCTAACAACATGAAATTTCAATAAAAGAAGGAAACCGGTGTGCTTTCATAACATTTTCGCGTAAACCATATCGTAGGTAAGACATTTCCTTCTTTTATTCTATTTGCATAGTGTTCTGCATTTTAGCACAAAAGGTTTTAATAATTATAAGTGAATTAAATAATATCAACCCAGATTTAAATAGTAATTTTTAAATTATCCATGCTATCAAAGAGGATAATTGATACAATACTAGGCGGTTTGATTCTCAGATCGCTCTAAGACGTTATTTATAAGTGTTGTATCTGTTGTCTTCATAAATTTCATTTTCTAATAATAATATTAAATAATCTAAAAGATAGCACATAGCTGAAAAAAAATATAGTTTTATTTTTGATTTTTAGCCTTCAAACTTGCGTTATTGGAATGACAAATTCTTGAATGCTTCTACACGTTCGCTTGCATTTTACATTAAGGTATTCACTTAACAGGGAGCTGGATGCACAGCGTTATTAGTCGCGGTTGTTTCAAGAAAATTAGAATTAACTAGAGCCGAGAAGCACGTTCATAACTTCATGATGGACACACAGCTTACTAAAAGAGTAAGTATTGCTGTGATATAAGTTCATCACAATTATTGTTAATCTAATTAACAGGGGGCGGGATGTACAGCATTATTAGTGACCGTTGCTTCGAGAAAATTAGAGTTAACTAGAGCGGAGAAACATGTCCATAACTTCATGATGGAAACCCAGCTAACAAAAAAGGTAAGGTGACTGTTACTCGACTAACAGTCGAAGGACACAATGAAGGTAAGACTTATAAGCTAGGTTATGCTAAAGATGATTAATATAATTTAAATGATAATGATAAAAAAGTGCTTAAAATTAATGCTTGACACAATGAGTAACACACATTAGATGAAATTAATGGAATTGCCAAAATACACAATAGCGAACAACACTACGCTAGAGACTAAATAAAAGAAACATGATAAAATTAAAGATATTAATATATTCAAGAAAGTATAAAGGTAAATAGCTTGGAACACAATAAGCTTAAGATACATTGGACACCATGTGATGTCATGTGTTAATTTGACTGAAAGACATACTAATTATCTGATTGAATTCATGGATACTTACAGCTGAAAAATGCCGCTGCCAACGTGCTTCGGGAGACGTGGTTAATATACAAACACACGAGACTTGTCAAACGAGTCCATCCTGGAAGAGTGAGAACGCATCAAAGAAAATTTTTATTAGCTATTTATGCGTAAGTATGTTATTTTTCCTTTTTTTGAAGATTTTCAGATTAGAAGAATAAAACTCAATTTAGCGATTTTGATGTCAGTAACATCATAAGGTAATGTTCTGTCAGGTAACTTGTACTATATATAAACGCTAAAATTTGTAAGAACGTATGGATGTTTTTAATTTTTTACAAGCTTATAAACTACTTAATGGTTCTGAATTAAATTTGGCACAGAGATTATTAACTCAAAAGCTACTAAATTAAAATTAAACAAAAACACCCTATTAGTTTGATTTATAAGAGTAAATATCGCATCGTCTTAATACGATATTAACCGTACGTTGTTTTGGTATAAATATTACATTTATTATTCTGAAAATTAATTAAAACTTATCGCCATCTAATTCTTAGGTTACGAAAAGTAAAGATGGATCAGAGGAAGCTGATGGACAACGCAAATACAATAACAGATATGGCAAAGGTACGTTGATTTCTAGAAAATATATTTACCGCTATTGCTACACTCATACACTCATTTAGAGGTAGTACCCTAGTAAGCACTTTAGGAATGCAAGAAATAGATTTAGAGCTAGAAGGTCTGTAATAAACTTTGGTGATATGTAGCATCCCTATAAAAAATTCAGTTTAGATGTCCTTTAGAAGCTAGATTTTAAAGCCAAATATTCCTATTTGTTTTAAAATCCAGGTTAGCGTTAAAATTTAAATCATAGCATGCTAAAATTATATTCTGAACCCATTTGGCCATTTGCTTAGCGCATGCATCAATTAGACCAAAATTTTTTTTGCAAAAATTTTATCAACTATGAACCCTCGCTAAGAATGTGCATGATTTAGATTTAGAAATCACAATATTTTCTAAAATATATTTTTATAACATGCACAATAAAATATCTTATAACATTCGATTAATACATCATAACACACACACATGAGACAGACAATCATACAGTTACCCAAATCTAATACACTAACACAGATTAGTTATTAGCAACTGCAGTAAATAATGAACTGCAAAGCGATTGATATTAGGACCCCTTTCTCTTACAGACCCAGAATACAGTCTACGAGATTGTTTCGGACATGAGTACGAGACAAGACACCATTGAAGAGAGGCTGACTAGTTTAGAAGAAAAACTTACTTCATTACAGGTAATGGCAACGAAGACAATTTGAAATTTGATTGAAGAAAAATGCAATTTTTTTCGTATCACAAACTAATCTTGAAAGTTTTTTTCTGAACAAAAATGGTACTGTAGCATCTTTAGTTCCTTTATTCTCTTTGATATTTGACACGTTTGTTTTTTGTCTTACTTCATATTAACTTGATTCATCTCTAACAATCCATCTTCGTATGTTTCAGGAACAAGTTAATAATTTACCAGATGTAATGGCTCGGTGTCTACAGCAGTGTTGGGAACGGGCGGAGCAGAGAAGAAATTTCCTGCATCCCGACACTGCTGCTGTGCCTACTCCGCCCTCATCTACAATTACGCCTTACACCAGGTACTTGGTACTTATATCAATAGGACAACATAAAAGTTATATTAGTACAAACATACTTACTTGACACGTATTTCGTCCTTTATTTACGGTAAATTTAACTTTTGACATTTCCAGGACGTTGGCAACAGCGTCACATCCCTGGCCACCAAGCCCAGTGCTGCAGCCGGCAGGGCGAACGCATTCTGCTCCAGAGAGCACGACAACGCACACGCCTTCACCAGCGCAGCCGCAGCCTTCTAGCCCCGCTCCACATGCGTCTCGGCCTCCTCTACCCAGCTGAGTACCGCCTTCCAACTCCGAACTCCTGTGCTGAACTCGACGAAACTCGGCGCCCGTCCTCTGACCCCCCCTTCACGACTACGCCCGAAAGAGGTTGTCGGGGAAGTTGTTTTACAATGGAAGACAGAGATTTGAAGATACTAGTTCAATGAACGCTTTGCATGATAAATATTGAGTTCTTTTTCGGATAATAAGCAAAATATGCGCAGAATTTTCTATTGATTTATAATAAATAGCACGCGATACGAATAAGAATTTAATGAATTTTCATATTCCAATTTTATCTCATATCTCCTCCATAAAACTGCAAATCAAAACGAACATTTACTATGTGAAGATTTGTATTTTTATACCGTCATGAAACAAATCCGTTTATTGAAACTATTTTCTACATCTTTATCTTACGTTGGGTGACGAAAGGATAAAGTGAAACGATTTTCTCGGCATACCGATGGACCACGCCGCGGTGCGAGACAAGGTCAGCCGTAGTTTTCTTCGCTGTTCCCCAAAGTTTCGGATGTGCCAGACTGTTTTCTAGTGATATTGTTTAGATAGTGAAAAGAAATGAGGCGGTACGGACTTGCTGTTGTGATTATACAAATGCTTTATCGATAGACGCTTTAGCTAATTACGTTAGATGATATTTTGAATACATTATCGGAATTAGTATAGATAGTTATTACCAACACGTCTGTTCACGTTTTATCTGATGTTCGAGGAACCAATAACACTGTTTTATAAGCTGAGTGTGTTTTTACTAAGGTTTTTGTGAACGCCACCGATATTGTGACATTGAGAAGTCTTTGGAAACGAATTTAAGAGTAGTCACTTTCATAGATTTCTTAATGTACAGACACATAGCAGTAAAAATTAATATAGTGACTAATGAAATAGTTTAACTACACATAGATATGCATTTATATTTTGCAGTCAGTAAGTAAATTGACTGTGTAGGCATTTACTGTAAAGTACACATCGTAGTCACTATACATTGGTTTCTGTTCATTGTAAAAGTATTAAACGTATGGAATGTAACACGATTTGGAATACTTATATCACAATGCCAGACTTAGCTACGAAATAATAACTAAACATTAATCCATCTACTCCAGAATTGTAAATGTCACCTTCGATAGTATTCGAACAAAAATCGAAATATATTTTATACATACATAATAAAAAAAAAATTAAAACAATAATCTGATCGCATTATTTGCAATATATTTTAAATACATTAAAGACTCTCTAAAACAAAGTTTTATTGAGGTTATCCGTGAATGAACTATGTTTTACAGAGAAATCGGAAAATAAATAAAATAATAAATTTTGAGATCAGATTATGGCTACGTAAGACGTGGTTTAAGTGTGTTTCCATTGGCGTTGTACGAAAACTATCGAAATGTGACATTTGCTGATATTCTAAAAGAAACCTGTATACACACTTTTAGATATATAATTAGGTAATTAAATTGTTACTACCTGCCTATTGACATGTAGATTGTAAACAATTTTTTCTAAGAGTTAAATTAAGTAAAGCTTTGTATAAGACATAAGATTGATGGCTGTCTAAATAGTGCCTAAAACACTACGAAATTTCGATAATTCAGTTTTATTATCTTTAATAACTTATGAATGTAAATAGGTATTCTAAAATTTGAGAGCGTAATATTTAGTAAATATCTGAATTTTGTAGCTGTACGAGTTGTATGATGGGATCAATTCGTTTGTACATTTTAGTTTTAAAATTTTCCCTTCTTCATCCATTGTTCTGTTGGTTACACTTACTTGAAAGACTAATGGAAAATCGGATATCGCATTATACATAAGTATCAAAACCGATGAGGATTTTGCTCAAATAAATATGCACTGATTTTTCAAGTCCCGATTGTAAAATAGCGAATACGTTGGCACGCACGTACAAGTAACACTAAAATAGAATAGACCAATTTCTGTAATTTATATAGAAATAGATTGAATCCAAATAGATCTAATAAAATATTAATATTACTACGAGTATATTCAAAGATAGCAAATAAACATTACTGAATGGCCCAATAGAAGTTGTCAAAAAACATCTTCAAAATACAAAAATCGTTGCTGAAAGAAAATTGAACAAATTTTAATTTTATTTTAATACACAATTCGATTAAAATATCAACTAAATACGTTTAAAATCTAAAAGATATTTTCAATTTTTATTTAATTTGCTATTACTGCTTTCAAACGTTAGCGTTCGCGTAATAAGGTTGATATTTATATGGCATTAAATTTCCATAATCTGTTTTTATTATACGCCATTTTGTTGCCTATGCGTCGAGAGAATTTCGTACCGAACCATATTTTTATTCTTTTTGAAACTTAAAAACTGTAAGTAGCTAGGGTAATGAATAATCCTATAAAATAATCGTTCGTTATAATTATACAAAAAAACACCAACTAGTATATTTAGATATACGACAGATTAGTGTAGAGTAATTAAAAAAAATATTTCCTGCATTATATTTATTATATTAAAATAAAATAATAATCTTACCCATCTTATTAAAACTTTTCCTAAAATTTTTCATAAACAGTGTTTTAAAAAAATACTTTCTATATATTCCCTAGTGTTTATAACTACCTCGACCTTTTTACACGTCATACATAATTACCTACTGTTTAACTTGTTACTGCCACTTTAAATATCTTGCTTTTAAATTAATATTTATTTATTCCTATCTTCCTAGCTATATCATTCTAAAATAATAAAATAAAATAAATAAATATCATCATGAGAATTATTTTCTTTTCTAACCCTTTTATTTTCTCTTTTTCTTTTCCAATAAAACTTTTAAATCCAAAACGCACAATGAAATAATATAAAAAGTGGCATTTTAGTGAAACTAGGTATTTACATTAACGGTCTTTACTTAACAGTAGCCTAATGACTTGTCCCCATTATGAAGAATTTTAAAAATCTAGTCACTAAGTATAATTGCTTTATAGTCTGTTTTGTCTAGGACAGTTGTTCACAAAAGTGTTTGCACTAATTATATTATATTTTATCAATTTTCGTCTATTCCTACCGACTATTCTAGTGTATAATTTATACCTTTCCATAATATGATATTTAAAAATATAATTATACCCTCTCGAACACTTTTGCGAGTGAGTCCCAATTTTAGCTAAATTTCAAAATAAAAATAAAACTATTTATTTATAAATAAGAATTGACCAAAATGTTGTTTAAGAAACGTAGAATTTGTAAATAATAAGCGAAAAATCAGTAAGACATTATGTATAAATTATTAATGTAAATACCAGTTGTATTTGCGAATTTTAATGTAAATAAAGTAAAAAATAATAAAAATACGGTTCCAGTAAAATTATTTTTAAATAATACGTTCAATTGTATAATGAAATTTTAAGTTGTATGCCAACGGAATGTTCTATGCGGTGCGTAAACAAAAGATATGAAACTTTTGTGATCATTGTTGATGAAATGAAAGTGTAACTTCGATTATATGAGCTGTAGTATTTTTTAAATTGATTTTTATTTACACCCTATGCCTGAAGTTGAAAATAAACTCGATAAAATAATCTGGTGTACAAAATTATTTCCTACGCAACATGTCAATAGCCATCACATCCCTTTATGAATCCCATGAATGACATACACTGACAATATCAAGCAGACATGTTGCAGGGAAATGTTTCAATTTTATACTTACAACGCCATCTATTAGAAGTCTATGTTATCATCACCCGGTTCTCGTGGGCTCTATCATAAAAATGCTTTGAATTGGTAACAGATGTCGCTGTATTTAGGTTCAGCAAAAATATTTGTTTCACTTACAAAAGTATTTCACTTTTGTAAGTAAAATATCACGAAAATGGGTGGAGAATACCTACAAAAATTGCATCGAGGTGTGTTTAGCTAACTCGTGTGTGGACTACAGTTTCAGTTTTTACCTAGTGTCCTACTGAGACTTTTGTAACTTTTTCAATTTGATTTGTAATAGTATTTCGTTTAAAAAACGTTCACACTGGGTTTTTTTCCGGTCTCGTGGCTACGTTTACGTACCAAATACGAACCTAAAACGTTGCTCAGCAACCATAGTGCGAACCGTACAATCAATTTAAAATGCGACTTCAAATTAATAGAGCTTTTTTCGATTAATCGACGTAAGCAAACCGTTATGATGATGACAAGTTTTAGTATCTAAAAATATTATCAACACAAAAATTTGTAAGTATTGGAGAGGTATATGTACTCTTCTAGTTAAGAAGTACTGAACAGATCAAAATAAAATTTACCATTAGATAGATTATAGTCTGGAGGATAAATAAACTACTTATTTTACTAATCTGGAACTATGGGTGAACCCACTAGAAGTAACAAAACAGTAAGTGTGGGAGAGCCATGCTTCGGGAATGGGGAATAGTCGGCTCGACCGGAGTGATATCACGGCCTCACAGAAGACCGGCGTGAAACAACCACAGCGTTGTGATTCGCCGAGTGAGTGAGATTACCGGAGGCCCAATCCTTTCCCGCCCCCAATCCCTCCTCAATCCCTAAATCTCCAAACCCTTAATCCCTAAAAGGTCGGCAACGCAATCGTTAATCCTCCGTTGCGGGTGTCCATGGGCGGCGCCGATTGCTTACCATCAGGTAATCTGTCTGCTCGTTTGCCAACCAATTACATAAAAAAAGTACGCAGTTCTAAGAAAAAACAATAAAAAACATTAGATAAAATCTATGTATTTTATCAAACGAAATTAAACAAAGATGACGCTGGAAACTGTGCGGTACTGGACAAGAATTTTCACAAAAGGAATTTTGTTACATTCTTAGGTAGTTCCCTCAATGCAATTTGCAGTATTCTATTATCTGTCCAACAAACGTGGGTGTCGACGAAGCGCACGTTCTCAACTGAGTTCGTTTCCACGTTTGAAACATAAATTACTGTAGTAAGAACCTAAGTACGTGCACCTAACTAATGTCTAGGACCCACAGTGAAGGATGAGAGGTAGAATTCGTGTTGTTACTTAAAGAACAAATTCGATTTTGATGTTTTTGATAAATTCACTTCAACGTTTCAAAGGGTAAACTTATCTAGGTATTTTCTTTTCTGAATTACACAATATTTTCAGCTTATATTTCCCTTTTGATCTGCAATTTATTTATTTTCTTTTGGGAGGTCTTGTATTGATTTTGTTATAAAATAATAAATGAAAAGCTAACAGTTGCGAAAAAACTTAAAATTAAAATGATTTTATTTATTTAGTAACTTTTGCTCGCGAACAAATCGCGTGGAATAGTGACTTCCTGTGGATTTTTGGTTTTAAAACTATCCTATGTCCTTTCTCGAGTTTCAAACTACGTCTGTACCAAATTTCACACAAATAGGTTCACTAGTTTATTCGTGAAGAAAAGACAGACAGACAGACAAAGCTACTTTTGCATTTATAATATTAGTTTGGATTTCCTAATTACATTAGGTACCTTGTGGGTAATGAAAGACAATCAATTATAATAAATTTTCTTCACCAAAACATTAACAAAGACTTCGTAAAGAGATTACAAATGTAGGTCAGGTTCAAATTGTTTACGTCTACTTACTAACTCTAGTAACTAAGTCATTAATTTCAAATGTTAATGATAATCTTTTAACTAAATTTTATGGTTAAGACTAATTATCTTTATTGACATATTTTGATATGATGATGATATATCCATTGATCAGAAAATTTGCCAAATTCATTTATTATCAGCAGTTTGAATCTCATTAAGGTGTAATTTACTAAAATTAGGTAAAGTGATAGAATAATTACCTTCAGAATAATAAAGTTATTTTGGCATTTTTCTTTTGTGTTGTAGCGGGGCCACGGTACTAGACAGGTAGAAGAAGGAACGTGGTTGTTTGTTTGGAAAAAACATTAATGTTTTCTTCCCCTCAAAAAAAAGCGTTTTTCGTATTTATAACTTCTTTTCTATTATAATTTGAACTTATCGAAATAGCGTGCTTTTATGGGGTCGTCCTTCTTACCAAACCATCTAAAAAGTAGGTGAATATAAATTTTACATACTTCGGAATGTGGTTTTATCATAAAACGTGGAATTGTAAATCACATGACAAGATCTCATTTTTGTTATTAATGTGACACATAACATCGAGCTGGATTATTGATGAAATTGGACTGTGTTTGTTGACCTTGGACTAACTACTACTCTTAGTAGATATATTGTATAAATAATTATTATACTATACATTGGAAGATTGGATATACCTTTGAAAGGCGTACGAGGGGTCGAAGTCAAGTCAACTCGCAGAGGCCCGTAGAACAACATTAATATAAGTGAAATGGGACATCAGCCGTTAATATTGTACTATATATTACTTGTATAAATAAATAAATAAATGAATCATGTTGAATTCAAACTCATTACATATGGCTGATAACGCAGATGAAATGGGTGTTTAATTCAAAGCATATTTTTTATACAAAACAAAATAAATGTGCAAACATTTATATTGGAAAGTAAATAAAAAAGAACCTATATCCTTTATATTAAAGGATGTAGGACATTATATTAATGTCCTACATAATTTGAATTTACCTTTAAATATGACTCTGGGAGGATATTCCCGACAGTTCCTATTTTTGATAATAATATTCTTCATTGACATCCTATTCCTTTCTAGCCCAAGGTAACGATTTGTTGAACAGGCTTTGAAAACGATAATGACACGTAGTTACAGCCTATCAAGTACTTTACAAAATGGCAATTTCAGGAGTCAATATTACAAGTTTCTTAATAATCTACTGAAAGGTTTCACACCGTTTCAGTACTTAAAATCTGTATTAAATTGCCAGTTACTTTGTTGAAGATTTTCCAAATTTTCTTTCAATTATTTTTTAACATTTTTGTGGTATTTCATTAATTTTGTTTTTTTACGTCATGGACAGAATGTTTAGGACCCTTAGTTCTCGCATGATTATTCTTTATGTATCTGGGGTAAACATATACGTTTATATGAACCTAATTATAATGTCATGTATTTTTCTTTCCCTCTCCATATTTCAAGTCGCAGGCAGTTTCTAATCAACATCTATTTATTTA